CGTGACGCCTGGCTAAGTCTTTCTGATCGTTATGCGTCGATTTCTAGGGCACGAATCAATCATTTGAAGACTGAATTACAGACGGCCCAGAAGGGTGGAGACTCGATCGAGCGCTTTCTCTTGCGTTTGAAAACGGTCCGTGACCAATTAGTTCAAGCTGGGGTTAAGGTGTCTGACGATGACTTTATGATTGCTACTCTTAATGGTCTCCCTCAGGAATATGACATGATCAAGACGGTTTTGATTGCAAGGGATACTCCAATTTCCTTGAAGGATTTTCGCGCTCAATTGCTAGCTGCAGAGCAAACTGCAGAAGCTCGATTGGTTCCTCACTCTGCGATGTTTGTTACTCCGTCGTCTTCGTCATATGCTTCTGTGAATGCTATGGGCCTTTCTAATTCTGGTATGGGTTTATTGCCTACTCCATCTTCTTTACCAGTTGCCTATATGGGGTCCTATGATCGGTCTGTTCTGCCTTCATTAGATCGCAATTTTGGTTCAAGACCTGTTCTTGGTAACAATGGTGGTTTTAGTCGTTTTAACGATCATCAACATCACGATATTGGCAATAGCCAGCACGGAGGTTTTTCTGGTTTTCCTAATCATTCTGGTTCTGGAAGAGGTAGATATCAAAGCAGAGCCTCTCCTTCATCTTTCTCAGGAAATCGATTTGGTTCCAATTCTTCTCAGAAATCTGCAGTTGTTCCTGAATGTCAGATATGTAGCAAACGGGGTCACACGGCTGCTAATTGTTATTTTCGCCATGAGGCAAGCTCTTCTAGGCATGGGAATCAGGTTATTGAATGTCAAATCTGTGGTAAGAAGGGTCATGGAGCCTTGGATTGTTTCCATAGATCCAACTATGTCTATCAGGGTCAAGCTCCTCCTTCCAACCTTTCTGCTATGACTGCCCAAACTTCCTATGTGCCTGATCAAGTCTGGATTGCAGATAGTGGGGCGTCTCATCACATGGTGTCTGATATTTCCTCATTAAATCATGTTGCTCCTTGTGAATCTACAGAGCAAGTGATTGTTGGTAATGGAGAAGGTTTGAAAATTAAACACATTGGTACTACTGCCATTGCCTGTGCTTCTACTTCTCTTAAACTGCCATCAGTATTTCATGTTCCACAGTTATCTGCTAATCTTTTGTCTGTGCATCAGCTGTGCAAAGATAATAATTGTGTTATCAGCTTTGATGCTTCTGGTTTTGTGATACAAGATCGAGTCACCAAGACAATCCTCCTAAAAGGTCGGAGTAACAATGGATTGTATCCAATTCCCTCTGTTGTATCCTCTCATTGCTTGTCCAAGAAAGTAGCTTTGCTTGGTCAACATGTTAAGTCTTCCATTTGGCATCACAGACTTGGCCATCCAACGAATGAAGTGGTGCAATCAATGCTTAAAGCCTCTGGTTTGCAGTGTGCAAATGACTCTTCAAATTCGAATTCGAATCCCTTGTGTTCAGCTTGTCTTCAAGGGAAGATGCATCGGCTTCCATTTCCTATTAGACATAGTAGGTCTGAAATTCCTTTTCATACAGTTCATAGCGACGTATGGGGACCTTCTCATTACAAATCTGTTGAGGGTTACAGATATTTTGTTTCCTTCCTTGATGAATGTACCGGATATTTGTGGGTTTATCCCCTTTTCAATAAATCAGAAGTTTTCTCCAAATTCCTACAGTTTCATGCTTTGATACAAAATCAATTCAGTGCTGCTATTAAGTGTTTTCAGAGTGATGGTGGTGGTGAGTTTCTTAGCAAGGTTTTTTACAGATTTTTTGGCTTCTAAGGGAATTGTGCGTCGTTTGTCCTGCCCTTATACTCCGCAGCAGAATGGACTGGCAGAGCGGAAGAATAGGCATATTATTGAATCAGCCATTACCCTGTTAACTGCAGCAGCCTTGCCAGGTCAATTTTGGTTTCATTCCACTGCTCATGCTGTGTATCTTATAAATCGAATGCCCAGCTATGTTTTACATAATCAGTCTCCTTATTTTCGTTTATTTGGCCATCATCCTGATCTTGCTTCTTTGAGAATATTTGGTACTGCGGTATATCCGTATCTGAGACATTATAATGTGCATAAGTTACAACCGCGAACCACTCAGTGCGTGTTCTTGGGATATTCACCTGGTTACAAGGGAGTTATTTGCTACAATCGAATTACTGCAAAATGTGTAATCTCAAGGCATGTTCTTCATGATGAAGCTATATTTCCTTTTAAGCAAATTAACCCTGGTATATGTGGGCAGTCTTCTCAGTTTTCTTCTACTGCATCAGTGGCTCCTGTCATTATTTCTCTGCCTTCAAGGCCTTATCAAGCTTCTCTTAATGCTCAAGATCCATCGTCTCTAGCCTCTGATACACAAGTATCTACTTCTCAGTCTCAGTCCATCTCATCTACTCATGAGTCTTTATCTCCCATCCAACATCAAGCATCGTTGGATGATATTCTGGTGGCTTCTACAGGTTCTGTACCTGTGTTGAATGAACAACAATTACAGGTTATGTTTCCGTTTGAGGTCTCTGATGCTTCCTCTTCTTCTGTTAGCACTCAGGACAAATCAATTTCTAATGCTTCCTCTTCTTCTGTTAGTACTCAAGACTCATCGGTTTCTTTATTTCCTATCAATAATCATTCCATGATTACTCGGGCCAAAAATGGTATAGTTCAAAACAAACAGTTTCCAGATTATCAAGGTTATTTTACATGTCTTCATGCTATTCCTGAATTAGATGAGCCTTCTAGTTTTAAGGTGGCCTCGTTTTCTTCTGAGTGGAGGCAGGCTATGAAAGAGGAGATTGATGCTCTTCATATGCAAGGCACATGGCTTTTAGTTCCTAATCCAGGTGATAAAAATATTATTGGCAGTAAGTGGGTTTATAAAATAAAGAGAAATCCAGATGGTACAGTGGGTAGATATAAGGCTAGACTTGTTGCTCAGGGGTTCAGTCAAGAGCCTGGTTTTGACTTTGGGGAAACCTTCAGTCCTGTTGTTAGACACACAACAGTGAGGTTAGTATTAAGCATAGCTGCTATGAACCAGTGGAAACTACGACAACTTGATGTCAAGAACGCTTTCCTACATGGCGATCTTGAAGAAGAAGTTTTTATGAAACAGCCTCTTGGTTTTGAAGATTCTACTCATCCACAGTTTGTATGTAAACTGAAAAAATCTTTGTATGGTCTTAAACAGGCTCCAAGGGCATGGAATGCCAAATTCACAGGTTACTTACCTACTCTTGGCTTTAAATCTTCACATTCTGATCCAAGTCTGTTTGTGCAGCATACTGAGAATGACATTATGATTTTACTCTTATATGTTGATGATATCATTATAACAGGTTCTAGTGATCAGTTGATTCAAAGAGTGGTTACAGACTTAAGTGAGGTGTTTGAAATGAAAGATATGGGGCAGCTCACCTTTTTCTTAGGTCTGCAAATTTCCTATAATTCCTCTGGTGACATATTCGTGAGTCAAACTAAGTATGCCAAGGATCTACTACATAAAGCTGGCATGAGTTCATGTAGAGCTTGTGCAACACCTTGTAAGCCACACACTCAAGTGTTACAGACTGATGGTGAGCCCTTGGCAGATCCCACTATGTTTCGCAGTCTAGTAGGTGCTTTACAGTATCTAACATTTACAAGACCTGATCTGGCCTATGCTGTGAATCATGTGTGTCAATATATGAATAATCCTACTGAGGTTCACTATTTTTTGGTGAAGCGTATTCTCAGATATGTACAGGGTACATTAGAATATGGAATCAGTTTTACAAAGGGTCCTTGGCAGCTTAATGCATACAGTGATGCAGATTGGGCAGGGGATATCAATACTAGAAGATCTACAACCGGATCTGTGGTATTCTTGGGTAGTAATCCTATCTCCTGGCAGTCCAAGAAGCAAGGTTCTGTGTCTAGGAGTTCAACAGAGGCAGAATACAGGGCCTTAGCAAACACAGCTGCTGACTTGTCATGGATTCGACAGGTTCTCTTGGATCTGAAGATGTTTCTGCCAAATGCTCCTCTTATGTATTGTGACAACTTATCAGCACTGGCTTTAAGCTCAAACCCAGTTTACCATTCTCGAATTAAGCATTTGGATATAGACTTTCACTTTGTGAGAGAGAAGGTACAAAGAAAGGATCTTATTGTCCAGTATATACCTACTGAAGAACAAATAGCAGATGTTTTTACAAAGGGGTTACACAGTCCCATTTTCTTACAACACTGTCTTCATCTTAGACTGAGGAGTTCAGCTGGGTAGGGAAAATGTTAACCATGTGTTTCAGTTAAGAAATTGTTAAGTCATCATGTGCAGCTCACGTGCTCTCTGTTAAGTCTGTTAGTGAGAGTTAGCTGTATTTGTTAAGTCTGTTAGCGTGATGTTAGGAGATAAGTACTGTACTAAAGCTGAGCTTTTATAATTCCTATTAATCAAGATCTGAAATACAGAATATACAGCTATTTTCCTTCTTGCTTCCTCTCTACCTTCTTCTATGGAAATCCCTAAATCTCATCCTCTTCTTCTTGTTAAGACATGAGCCCGTTGGTCAGTTGGGCTAGGATGCTAGTTATTTTAAATTATTAGCTTTTATTATATTAGTTCTCTTATTCCAATTAGGATTCGGTTTAATTTCCTGTTATGGTTTTTAATTTCCTTTGTCAATTTGGTCTTCTTAATAAGCTGATGTACTCTAGTGTAAAAAGGCTATAAAGAGACTCGAGTTTCTTTGGGATTTTTGCCCTAGAACTCTATTCTCTCTATTTTGGGACTGTTGTCTCGAGTTTTCTGGTGTTGTCAGTTGAATTCTGTACGTATTTTAGTTTTTAACATGGTTAGCCCCAAATACATACCCCATGAAATCTTGTTAGACATCATTGCAAAATTGCCTGTGAAATCTCTGTTGAAGTGCAGATGTGTTTGCAAGTCTTGGCATGCTTTAATTAGCAGCCCAAGTTTCATAAGCGCCCATCTCGAAAGGACTGCCATGAAAAGTGGTTGTGATTATTTACTTATGTACTCTGACAATCCAGATTGCTTGTCAGTCTTTTGTCCTGAAACATATGCTAATTGTTTGGAGTTAGATCTTCCTAGGCATCCGAGTGGTTCCCCTTTCTACATTTATGGTTCCTGCAATGGATTGCTTTGTATATCTGATACTAATATGAAGAGTACATATTTATGGAATCCATCAATCAGGAAGTTCAAGAGACTTCCCAAAGGTCTCATTCGTGTCAAGTATCGTTACAGCGGCGTCACTACCATAGCTCTTGGGTTTGGCCTCGATGTTGGTGGAAATGACTACAAAAAGTTGTGGGAGTTGAGAATTTTTTGCACGGCATCTGTGTCGAGGTTTACAGCCTTAGGTTGGACTCTTGGAGAATAATCCATGCAGTTCCCCCTGTGACAGAAAAATTTAGCACGTTCTGGAGCAAGAAATGGACTTACTTGAATGGAGTTGTGTATTGGATTGTACAGGAGTTTTTTCCAGATTGCAGATACATCATTTCTTTTGATATGAAGAATGAGGTTTTCCAAAGGATTATGCTTCCTGATAGATTGTTCACAGTGACAGATTCAATTTCCATTAGGGTGTTGGAGAAATCACTTTCTTTGTTCCATCATAGAAAAGAATGGGATCGTGGGTACCGTTACTACTATGACATATGGGTTCTGGAAATGGATTCCTGGAAAATGATTCGCACGATTCCTGTTCCGGCAGAAGGAAAAATTGCATGGCCATTGGCATTTACAGCAAATGGTGGTGTTCATTTTACTACGAGATGCGAAAATTGGCAACACAGAAAGTTAGAGTTGTACTATCCTAAATCGGAGCAAGTTACAGATACTGGAATAAAACTTGGTACCTATAGCAGAACCAGGAGGAGGATCTATGGTTACAGTGAGAGTCTGATTTTACTCAACTGAATTGTGAGTTCTATTGATGTCATTATAAATGTCTTTTCGGGTAAAATCTGTTTTAATTTATTAATTGTGGCAATTAAGTCTTCGTCCTTTTTCAAACTAGTATGCATTTCTATTTTGTTCATATCAAATTTTTAATCTTACACTATCGTTTTTTATTTAGGTGTGTGTTTGTCGATGCTTTGCTCTCCCTTTGTTGCCAAATCTTCCCGTTTACCTTAAGAAATCCCTCCTTCTCTTGTTATAATCTACCATTCATAAGAACAAAGGTTGCAGCATGACTCCAAGCTTTCCATCAGGTGAAGTTCATAGGAGATAAATTAGACGACACAACTTGAGTATCCTTGAAGCGAAATAGCTACAGCCTGACATAGCATCCGATCTGTGGATAGCCAAGAGGGCTTGAACCACAACCACCACCCTATTGTATACAATGAAAGATTCTCAGCACATACATAGGCTCTTAGGGAAATTCTCTCTGTCCATAACTGTAGGCATCATAATGCAAAAGCTTCATACAGTCCACATTCTACAGCATCCTCTTGCTCATGTCAGATCTGTTCCATAGACAAATTCACTTGTAACCATATTGCTCTGTTTTCACCCGTGACCTTTTAGAGCAAAAGAAGAGAAGCCGTGCCTTCGAAAAATATAAATCTCCAGAGGAAAAAATAGTAATGACTTGGGCACCTTGGGCTCATACTCAAGCATGCATCACTGACTTAATAAAACATGAATAGCACAACAAATTAAATTACCTCAGTGGTACGAGCCAGAACCGCCTGAATCCATATAACTGCTTCCACCCACACCGCGGCCAGAGTACATTGATGAGCAAGAGCTACCTCCAACCTACAATAGATAATCAAGAAACAATAATACATGAGACTGCTAAACAAACAGCTGTTGGCTTATAAGCCAGGAACCTCCACAACCACAAAAGGCTTTGGATTCACACTTTGCTTTGCAAGCTAGCTAGGTTGTGACATTTTTTTTGTTAATGTCCATGTCATGGATTGGTTGGACCAATCGGTTGCTTCCATTTGGCGCATTCGAAACGCTACACCTGGCCAACGGAATTCGGCAGTGGACTTTTAGTAGACATAAAGAATGAACAATGTCTTGGCTGTGCTAGTTATCATGGGAAATGACTATGCATCTCTATAGTCGGTTTTACCAAAAAAATTTAAAGAACAGTATAGCGGCGCGGCTTCACTCTGTGACACCCCGACCCAATTTTAACCATATATTTAATTTATTTAATTGTGAAATTACAATTTTATCCACGGAGTAAGATCCAATAGTCATTTTTCAATGCATAACGATTTTTGGGATTTGAGTGACACCATAGCGTAGAGCTCGTCGATATGAGTTCGTAGACACGTAGTGGGCCCAAATCGGAATTTTAATGGAGAAGTTATAGTCAACGGAAGTGTAGTGGCACAACTGTAAATATTTCAAAGCAAGAATTTTAAACTGTGAGAGGTGTAAAGCCACTTTTACATCCCCTTTACACATTCAGGGGTTGTAAATGTGGTTTTTGCTCCAATGGGGAAGATGTAAATCTAAAGATGTATAATTGATTTTTTTTGTCTTAATTCGTTTTTGTGTTAACTACATAAAATTAATTTTGTGTGTGTTAAGTTTATTTTATTTTTTCAAACAAATAGACCTAAAAAGATTTAAATTTGGAGAAGATATGATTTCATCCCCAAAAAAATTATTAGAAGAACAAGCTACTATATATATATTACCTATTAATTAATTGATTAATTATGAGTTTCACTGTTGAAGCGTAATCAGCAATAATGAATTATTTTATTTTATGTGGCTACAAATTAAGTATAAAGTTTTGTCCCAACTACTCTAGCCGAGCGTCTTGGGCAAGTAGGTTTACATTAAGCCTTTTTGCTCACTTTTGTCCACATTTTCTCATATTTTCTCATGTAGGCCTCCGCCTGTAAGATATGTGAAAAAGGATGCACATGTTCATCTAAATTTGCATCTCACGGTTGTGATGCAAATTGATAATCATTCACACCTACCCATTTCAAGTGATTCCGATCACAAATGGTATATATTTAACATACACCTCATTATACAACCATCTACTGGAGATGCTCTTACTAGATAATATTATGTTAAGTTAGATTCAATGCGCTAAAACCTTTCACAATTTAAAATACCCAACTTAGACCCGTTTACAGATTATATCTCCTTCATTTTCCCTTCTGTTATAGTTCTAAGTTTACATCAAATGCCTTTCGAATAAAAACTCTGTTGCAAAGCTCTTTCAGGTATTTTGTTTTTTCTTTACTTTCCCTAAACCAAAATTGAAGAAAGTTTTCTTTTTTTCCCCCCCTTTCCCAAAAAAAAAAAAAAAAAAAAAAAAAAACACCTAAAAAAAATAACCCCCCAAAAAAAAAAAAAAAAGAGCTGTCATTGAACAAAATTACTGGGATAAATTATGAACCAAGAAAAAGAAAGAAGCCTAGAACTTCACCCATCCTATTTCTGTCAATTTTGGACAATTAAAAACTGAAATTAATTAGGAGACTTCAAAGAACGAATTAGCCAAATGAGATAATTAACTTTGCAGAGAAAATAGATCTCAGAAACAAGAAGAAGAATTGTTAGGTTGCTATTGAAAGATCCCGTAAAGAAAACATTTGTAAAAAAAAAAAAAAGAGAGAAACATTTAGAAGACAAGGAAAGATGCAGAAGAGGGCAAAGTAACCAACGCTTACGGAAGAAAATAGGGTCTGAAAGAAAAAAAAAATGTCGCAAAATATATCAACAGAGCAGATGCAGATGCTAATCTCACAATCTGGGTTGGGCCACTTCAGTTTTCCAGCCCAAAGATATGTTAAAACTGAACAAATGGGGTCAATAAAAATATCTCAGAAGAAGAGCATTTGATGCTACGAAATGACATTGGATGTATGCAAAAACAAATAGTCTGCTGTTGAGATGTACAAAAAATTCATCCAGGGCTTGTGGACGGTCCCTTCTTTCTGCCTGAGAGAGAAGACAGCTACATTTTCATACCAACGGGACAACAGAAACAAGCTGTGAGCACCTTCCAGCCACCGAGGCCGCCAGAGTTATTGCTGCCTGTAGTGGTTGCAACTGTGATATCATCCTGTTGCTCTTCTTCTTCGTCTGGTAAACATACAAAACGAGAGAAAACCTCCTCTGGAAAACATATATACAAGACAAAATATAGATTCATTTATTATTTTGCTTTATTTTATTTTATTTTATATTTGGAAATAGTTGGAGTAAAATTATGAAACGCGTCAATAAAACATCACACCTGCCTTACCTTCTTCATCAGAGTCCCCAAGGATCATATTGAACGATAATCGATCATAAGAAGAATCTGTAGAAATACTCATCATATTATGATTCTCTTCTTGTTGCACCTGCACAAGTCGGATGCCCAACTCCTTAACCAGAAGCCCAGATTTCATAATTACAGAAACAACCACTTCATCGCCCCCTTGTAACGGCTCATCCTCCAAACTCCAGTGGCTTAACCATATCATGTCTTCTCCTTCACCTGGAATACCGTAGTGTGATGGTTCATACACCTTCGACAGACCCTTGCTCTTATTTTTGACTGTTATATGTGGCCAATAATTGTGGTGGAAAATAGGAGAATCATAGCCAGCATTCGAATAGACAACAAAGAAAATCAAGCCTCGAGTTCTGTGATTATCGAGTAATGGCACAGTAAAAGATATTGAGGACCCTCTGCTTTTATGGCTGAATTGGCCTGGAACCTCATTCCCACCAAAAAATGTGCTCAATATACCACATTCGTACAGTCCCTATATATATGCAATAGAACTGATATTATGAGAGAGAGAGATAGAGAGAGAGAGAGAGAGAGAGAGAGAGAGAGAGAGAGGCGCACACCTGGATGGGAATTGGATCATCCTTTTGTAGAATGGGTGCCATTGATTCCAACAAGTTGCACAATCCAATGATGGCTTGTAACTTGAACTTGTACTGCCACTCAACTAGGCTGCTGTGATTAAATGATATGGCTGTCTCTACGTGACGGGATTGAAATGTCATTTTCTCCAATGAAATGCAATCTACAATATCCAAGTTGTTTACTTTTGGTAACCCCAGAAGTGATTTGAGACTCGTACACATGGAAAAAGAGAGTTTATCGAGCCTCGCTAATCCTTTGATACAATTTGGTAGGCTACAAATTGGATTATTCCCTAGATTTAATCTTTGCAATGATGACATATTACTAAAATCCATAGGAAAGGCATCATCCGAAAGATTGCACCCCCAAAGACTTAATTCTACTAAAGAGCATGGTAAAGAACATAAGATACTCAAACTTCTTTCTAGACATAATTCACTTATCGGAATTTCATCTGTCTCAAGCACTTTTAACGAGTCCATGTTCCTCAACATCTCAATTGATAACTCCTTTAGATTTGAGCAACCAGATATAATAAATGTTTCAAGTGAATTTAGCATACAAATGTTCTTGGGAAGCAACCTAATCTTTTTGCAATCTTTCATATTCAAGTAAATAAGTCTCTCTAGGTTTCCAATGGATCCATGGACATAAATCAGGCTCGTGCAGTCTACTAGAACCAATTTCTCTAGATTTGGGCAATATGAGAATTCAATGGTTTCTGTAAGGGAATGAGAATGGCTGAGATCAAGGGTCTTCAAGGACGGAAGATACTGTAGAGGAAAAAAAATGTACAGAAGAAAACAATGTGGGAAGTTAATTTTTACAAATATATAATTTGTTATCAAACTAAAAGCCTAATGAAAATGGCAAAGAAATTGAAAAGGGTAGAGAGTGACATACTTTTGTTCCCTTGAATACTTGTCTCAGATTGCTGTATTGCATTTCAAGAACAATAATGCTTCCCACAGGAAAATCGACAGGTATAGAATCTAAAGGAAATTCAAACCAACACAACCATCTTAGTCCACTACAAAATTTTGCGTAACATCCGCGGAGTTTTACATGACTAAGATGGAGTAGTTTTAGTTCCTGCATCCGTGAAAATGCATTGGTTTCCAAGACTTTCTCATTTGAGTTTATAGTAGGGTACATGTGCATGTCCAGGACAAGACCTTCAATTGTTTCAGTACCCTACAAAAGAAAAGGAAAAGACATTTGGAAAGTTTTCAAAAGAGGAAAAACAAAAATGTGTACAAATAACGCATATTTCTTACATTCTTTTCCGTCAAGATTTTGAAAGAGTCCTTATGATGCCATACTCTACTACGCTTCCAAGGCTCCTTTGATTCTAGGCGAACAATTTCTCTTCCCATTCCAC